CTTCCACCACCTCTACACTGAGCCACGCCCTTCCCCCACCTCCACCTCTACACTAAACCACGCCCCTTCCCCCACCCACACCTCTACACTGAGCCACGCCCCTTCCCCCACCCACACCTCTACACTGAACCACACCCCTTCCCCCCACACCTCTACACTGAACCACGCCCCTTCCCCCACCTCTACACTGAACCACGCCCCTTCCCCCCACCCACACCTCTACACTGAACCACGCCCCTTCCCCACCCACACCTCTACACTGAACCACGCCCCTTCCCCAACTCCCACCTCCACACTGAACCACGCCCCTTCCCCCACCCACACTTCTACACTGAACCAAGTCCCCTTCCCCCACCCCTACATCTACACGGAACCAGGCCCCTTCCCCAACTCCCACCTCCACACTGAACCACACTCCTTTCCCGCCTCCTAACTCTACACTGAACCACACCCTATCCCCCACTCTTACCTCTATACAGAACCATGCCCCTTCCCCCACTCATAACTCTACACTGAACCACACCCCTTCCCCCACTCATAACTCTACACTGAACCACATCCCTTCCCCGCCTCCTACCTCTTATCCAGAACCATGCCCTTTCCCCCACTCCCACCCTAATCCACAACCACGCCCTTCCCCCCACCTCTATATAGAACCACACCTCTTCCCCCACTCCTACCTCTACACTGAGCCATGCCCCTCCCCCCACGCCTACCTCTATACAGAACCACGCCCATCCCCCCACCCCTACCGCTATACTGAACCACGCCCCTTCCCCCCACTCCCACCTCTACACTGAACCACGCCCCTTCCCCTACCTCTACCTCTATACAGAACCACGCCCCTTCCCCCACTCCTACCTCTACACTGAACCACGCCCTTCCCCCCACTCCCACCTCTACACTGAACCACACCCCTTCCCCCACTCCCACCTCTACACTGAATCACGCCCGTTCCCCCACTCCTACCTCTATACTGAACCATGCCCTCTTCCCCCACCCCCACCTCTACACTGAACCACGCCCTCTTCCGTCACCCCCACCTCTGTACTGAACCACTCCCCCTTCCATCACCCCTACCTTTGTACTGAATCACGCCCCCTTCTGTCACTCCACCTCTGTACTGAACCACTCCCCATTTTGTCACCCCCACCTCTGTGCTGAACCACGCCCCCCTCACCACCCCCACCTCGGGAGGATCTTTACCTGGCTGTTGATGTTATTGTTTTCTCCAAACACCAGGATACCCCCGAGGAAGGCCGCCAGGAATGCGTGCGCTGGGTAGGTCTTGCCTTGTATGCGGGACTGCAGGGCACGGAGACCCTTGTAGGTGAACACAAACCATGCCAGGTTCCAGGAGTGCATATACGTGGCCTGCAGGATGGCCCACAGCTTCTCCTGGAGGCTGCACAAACACAGGCGCCCCTGCCATGAGTGCAGGCTCGGCAGCCCCACTGAGCACTGGGCATGCCTAACAACCTGCCAAAGCGCTCAGAGTAATGCTCATTCAGTCACCGGCCTCTACCCTTCATGCTCTCTCCCCTGATTCAGGCCTTGACTCAGTGCCACTTCCCCAAGGAGACCTTCCCTGATCACCCTACAGAATAGAATACCCATCACATCCTGTCCTGACCCTAATTTTCTTTTCCTTCCTAGCTATGGTCACCACCCGACATTTATATGCTTGTTTATTATCTTCCCCCACCCCAGTAGCAGCTACAGGAGGGTGGTGTCTGGATCTGGCTTGTTCATCTGCAGGGCCTGGCACATAGTAGGTGCTTAATAAATGTTTTTTTGAGTAAAAATGTGAAGAAGTGAAGGAGTGAGTGTCTGCCATGTGTTGGATCTGGGAATACAATTCTGAGAAGAAACAGATCTGCTCGCTGCCCTCAGGGGCTTGAGATCTGCTGGGAGAGGAAAATGTGAAATAAATAATCACAAAAAGAACTTTGACCTTGACAAGAGATGGTGCTGGGATCTTCCTGATGAGGAGGAGTCAAGGAGGTCAAGAGGGGAGGGGAGCTGCATCCCAGGCAGAGGGCTCAGCACGTGCCAGGCCCAGAGGAGGGGCAGAGAGTATGAGGAAAGGAGCAGAGAGAAGCCACAGTGGCCATGGGCAGAGAATCAGAGAGTTTGTGGGGAGGGTGCAGGGCAGAGGCAGTGGGGCCATGCTGAGTTTGGTCTTTATCCTGAGAAGTGAACATTTAAATAGAGGAGGCTATTCTTTTTATCCCTTAAAAATCACTAGAGGTCAGGTGCAGTGCAGTGGCTCACGCCTATAACCCCAACACTTTGGGAGGCTGTGCTGAGTAGGCGCCACTGCATTCCAGCCTGGGCAACAGAGAGAGACTCTACCTTAAAAAAAAAAAAAGTTACTAGGAGGCCAGACACAGTAGCTCACACCTGTGGCTCACACCTGTCATCCCAGCACTTTGAGAGGCCAACACGGGCAGATTCCTTGAGCCCAGGAGTTCCAGACCAGCCTGGGCAACATAATGAGACCTCGTCTCTATAAAAAAAATAAAGAAAAAATTAGCCTGGTGTGGTGGCACATGCCTGTAGTTCCCGCTACTCGGGAGGCTGAGGAAGGAGGTTTGCTTGAGTCTGCAGTGAACCATGATTGTGCAACAGCACTCCAGTCTGGGTAACAGATTCCCTGTCTCTAAAAATTAAAAAAAAAAAAAAAAAAAAATCACTAGGGGGCAGGAAGGACAACACAGAGAAAGAGCAGAGTCTACTCCTCCCAATTCAGGAATGGCAAACTCAGGTGCTCTTAAAGCTCGACGAGGACCCTGAATGAGTGAGAGGGTCCACGGGGAAATCTTCCAGGTGGCTGGGGACAGCCGGGAGCAGCTGGCTGTCACCCCATGCAAACACAGGCCCCAGTGTTGCCAGTCCTAAGGCAGGAAAGCTCGGTTTCCATGTGGAATCTACCAGTTTTTAAATGTTGGCACTAACCCTGCCTTCAAAATGTGTCTAGAGACTGACCACTCTTCTCACCTGCACCAGCACCACTGAGGTCCAAGCCCGACATTGGCTCACTTGCATCACTGCCACAGCCTCCTGGAGGGAACCTGCTTCTGCCCTTGGGTGGCCCCGCTCCCCTCCCCCCACACCAATCTGTTCTTAACCTGGCAGCAATTTTTTTTTTTTTTTTCCTCTGAGATGGAGTCTAGCTCTGTTGCCCAGGCTGGAGTCCAGTGGCATGATCTGGGCTCACTGCAACCTCTCCTCCTGGGTTTGAGCGATTCTCTTGCCTCAGCCTCCCGAGTAGCTGGGACTACAGGTGTGCACCATCACATACGACTAATCTGTTTGTTTATTTATTTTGAGACAGAGTCTCACGCCGTGGCCCAAGCTGGAGTGCAGTATCGTGATCTTGGCTCACTGCAACCTCTGCCTCTCAGGTTCAAGCAATTCTCCTGCCTCGGCTTTCTGAGTAGCTGGGACCACAGGCGTGTGCTGCCATGCCGAGCTAATTTTTGTATTTTTAGTAGAGACAGGGTTTCACCGTGTTGGCCAGGATGGTCTTGATCTCCTGACCTCACGATTTGCCTGCCTCAGCTTCCCAAACTGCTGGGATTACGGGCGTGAGCCATTGTGCCCAACCTAATCTTTGTATTTTTTGGTAGAGACAAGGTTTTGCCATGTTGGCCTGGCTGGTCTCGAACTCCTGACCTCAAGTGTACCACCCACCTCGGCCTCCCAAAGTGTTGGGATTACAGGCATGAGCCACTGCGCCTAGCCTGGTAGCAGATTCTTAACCCTCACGCTGTTAACACGTAAGTCAAATAATGGTGCAGCCCTGCTCAAAATCTTACAACAATTTCCCATTGCACTTAAAGGAAAAGCCAAATTCCTCTCTATGACCCAAAGCTGGAGAGGACTGACCCAGGTCAAGCTGTGACCCGCCTCTCTGTCCTCTCTCCCCTTCAGTCCCTCTGCTCCAGCCTCCTCACACTTATCAGGCAGGATCCTACCTCAAGGCCTTTGCACTGGCTATGCCCATGGCCTGGAACACTCTTTCCCCTCATATCCACCTGGACAACTCTGTCTCCTTCAAGTCTTTACTCCAATGTCACTTTCTCATAGAGGCCTTCCCTATTTAATTCTGCAACCTGTCCCCTCAGCACTTCTGATGCCCTTTCCCTTTTTCCCTGCTCTAATTTCACTTTTCCATAACCATATCACCTTCTAACATACCACAGACTCTCCTTACTAGGTTTATTTTCTGCCACCCCCTGCTAGAATGTCAGCAGGAGACACTGCCTGTTTTGTTCACTGCTGTATCCCCAGTACCTAGAACAGTGTCTGGCACATAGCAGATGCTCAATAAACACCTGCTGAATACACATGAGTTCAGTTTTTTAAAAAATGACTTGGAGGACAACAAAAACAAAACAAACAAATAAATAAGATAAAAATACAAAATGAGCACATCTTGCAAGTTGGAGTTGGCCTGGAGGCTAGCAGTGCATGATTCCTGTACATTCTACGTGAGCCTGTATGCATTAAACACTAGACTGCAACCCGTTTTCTGAGAAGTGCCTTGAGGGAAGAGCTACGGGAAATGAGAGGAAGGTGAAGAGGCTTGAGCAACAGACGAGAGATCAGGGAGCTTTGAGGAGGAAGTGATCCTCAGAGAACTGGTCTGGATTGCTAGGAGGGAAGTAAAGGTGGAGTGCGAGCCAAAGGCTCTCCTGGCGTGAGTGCTGCATGAGCAGACGTGTGCAGGTGGAGCTACACAGGGCACGTGCATGGAATGGCAGTGAGTTCTGTGTGCCAAAGGCACCCCAGGGTGGACACAACAGGGGGTCAGCTGAGGCCAGACTGCAGAAGGCACTGAAGGCCAGGCCTGGAAGCTGGGCTTCCTTGGAGGGCACAGGGAGTTTTCAAGCAAGGATAATGGGATCACAGTTGGACTTTAGGGCCAGGCACGGTGACTCACACCTGTAATCCCAGCACTGTGGGAGGCCCAGGCAGCTGATCACCTGAAGTCGTGAGTTCAAGACCAGCCTGGCCAATATGGTGAAACCCCATCTCTACTAAAAATGCAAAAATTAGCCAGGCCTGGTGGCGGGTGCCCGTAGTCCCAGCTACTCAGGAGACTGAAGCAGGAGAATCGCTTGATTCCCAGAGGCGGAGGTTGCAGTGAACCAAGATCACCACTGCACTCCAGCCTGGGCAACAGAGAGAGACTCCATCTCAACAACAACAAAAAACAAAAGAAAAAAAGAGTTGAACCGTAGGAGGCGTGATGGGGGGGACAGGGTAGACCCAGCTAAGAAGCTATTACGACTGTCCTGGCACTGAGGGCTGACCACCTTCTCTCCCAGTTTGAGGGATGTGTACCTGCCATTCCGGAAGAGAAAGGTCATGACCAGTGCATGAGGGGCCCGGATTTTGGCTCCATAGCTGTAGAAACAGAAGAAAACAGTTACTATAACGTCACTGTGTTGCACTTTCTTTTTGGGCTCTCCTTTTGACCGCTTGTTCTCTCTCCCCATCCCAAATTCTGACACCACTTTGGGAGGGGAAATCATGCTGGATGCAAATCCTGGCTCTGACACTTCCTGGTAGTATGGTCTCAGGCGTGTCCTTTAACTTCTCTGAGCCTCAGTTTCCGCACCATAAAAAGGGATGTTATTTTTAATTATTCAACAACAGAGCCTCATTCTGTCTCCCAGGCTGGTGTGCAGTGGTACGATCATAGCTCACTGCAGCCCTGAACTCCTAGGCTCCAGTGATCCTCCAGCCTCAGCTCCCTGAGTAGCTGAGACTACAAGTGTGTGCCATCATGATCAGCATAAAAAGGGTTGTTTTTGTTTGTTTTTTGAGATGGAGTCTCGCTCCGTCACCCATGCTGGAGTACAGTGGTGCAATCTTGGCTCACTGTAGCCTCCGCCTCCTGGGTTCAAGCAATTCTCCTGCCTCAGCCTCCCAAGTAGCTGGGATTACAGGCGCCAGCCACCATGCCAGGCTAATTTTTGTATTTTTAGTAGAGATGGGGTTTTACCATGTTGCCCAGGCTGGTCTGGAACTCCTGACCTCAGGTGATCCGCCAACCTTAAAAAGGGATGTTAAACGTCAGAGGGCTCGTTGTAATTTCTTTTTTCTTTTCCGAGACAGAGTCTCTCTCTGTCGCCCAGGCTGGAGTGCAGTGGTATGATCTTGGCTTACTGCAACCTCTGCCTCCCTGGTTCAGGCAATTATCTTGCCTCAGCCTTCTGAGTAGCTGGGATTACAGGTACACGCCACCACGCCCGGCTAATTTTTGTATTTTTAGTAGAGACAAGGTTTCTCCACGTTGCTCAGGCTGGTTTCGAACTCCTGACTTCAGGTGATCCGCCTGCCTCGGCCTCCCAAAGTGCTGGGATTACAGATGTGAGCCACCATGCCCGGCCCTATAATTTTGATGGAAGGAGATGGTACATGTAAAAGGTCCACCATCCTTGCTCAACTGGCTTTGTGGAATTGCTCCCTCTACTCCATCCTGATATTCTCACTGCAGCCAGTCTCATCTTTTTTTTTTTTTTTTTTTTTTTGAGATGGAGTTTTGCTCTTATTGCTCAGCCTGGAGTGCAATGGCGTGATCTCGGCTCACTGCAACCTCCGCCTCCCAGGTTCCAGCAATTCTCCTGCCTCAGTCTCCCAAGTAGCTGGAATTACAGGCATGTGCCACCATGCCCGGCTAATTTTGTATTTTTAGTAGAGATGGGGTTTCTCCCTGTTGGTCAGGCTGGTCTCGAACTCCCAACCTCAGGTGATCCGCCCGCCTCAGCCTCCCAAAGTGCTGGGATTATAAGCGTGAGCCACCCTGCCCGTCCTAGCCAGTCTCATCTTTTAAAAACATCAATCTCATCACATCACTCCCAGCTTAAAATCCTCTAACATCTTTCCACTACTCACAGAACAAATTCCAAGCTCCTCCCTGCAGCCTTGAAAGTGCTACAGCCTTGGCCCCTGGTCAATGCTCCCACCTCACCCCAGAGCCCTCCTCTGCTGCTCCAGCCACACTGTCCTTCCTGGACTGCGTCTGACACATCAGGTCCTTCTCTGCTCCTGGCTTTGTCCTGGCAGTTCCCACTATCTGGCGTGCTCCTCCCCAGTCACCTTCCCTCAGCCTTCCAGTCTCAGCTGGGCCCTCTGTAAAGGCCTTCTGATACTCCAGCCTAGGTTTGCGCAATGTTTCATTGCCACAGATCCCAAAACTTCTCTCCAGCACTTCATCTTCCCAGTTTAATGACTCAGCTATTAACTATTTATTCTATTATAATGATCGCTTTCCTGTGCTAGACTGTGGGCTCTGTGAAGACAGGGAATGTGTCTGGCTTGTCATCTGCATAGTCCCTAGCACCCCACATGGTACCTGACAAATAACATGTGCTTGATAAATAACTGTTGACTGACCGATGCCAGAACAGCCCTTACCCATGACAATGTCATTTCTAGAAGGTTCTATCTTCAGCTTGGCTCATCTTAAAGTTAACAAATTCCCTAAAACAGCTGTTAGGTAACACTATACCTCTTTCTAACTATTATACAAAGGAGGACCTCAACTTTGTAAAAATGCATTTATAAAAAGGCTGGTACTTTGGAAGGCTGAAGTGGGCAGATCATTTGAGGTCAGGAGTTTGAGACCAGCCTGGACAACATGGTGAAACCCTGTCTCTACTAAAAATACTACAAAAATTAGCTGGCTATGGTGGCGGGCACCTATATTCCCAGCTACTCGGGAGGCTGAGGCAGGAGAATCTCTTGAACCCGGGAGGCGGAGGCTGCAGCAAGTCGAGATTGTGCCACTGCACTCCAGCCTGGGCAGCAGACTAAGACTCTGTCTCAAAAACAAAAATAAAATTTAAAAAACTGGAAGGAAATATGCCACTGTTATTAGCAATGCCCACTGCACTGGAGGAATATAAATTTATTTTTGCTTGCTTTTTAAACTTTTCTATACTTCCAAAATTATCTGTGATTAAGCATTGCTTTTAAAATTATTAAATATTTTAAATGTTACATAATTGCCTGTTTTTAAGATTCAAACCTCTTCCCCCACCCCTCCTTTCTCCTCCTCATTTAGGGATCTAGGAATGATGTGACCATGTTTACTTTCATTGTTTTAACTATACTCAAATGAATAGTAGAAAGACAGTGGTATTTGGTGCCAAAGCCCTGCCATGTTTTGCTGTGTGAACTTGGATAAATCAGTTAACCTCTCTGAACCTCCCTTTTCCCATCAACAAAAGGTATTCTCCATTTTACAGAATGGCTTTTGGCAGTTACACACATGTAGAAGTTCCTAGCTCAGTCAATATTAGTATCTTTTCTTTTTTTATTCTTTATTGGACAACTCCACCCCTACCCCTATCCCTGACTAAGTTCTCCAGGTACCGACCCTGGTCTTACCAGGCTACAAGGTCTAAAAATCCTGGACAGCCCCCTTGAGACAATGGTCATGAGCCACATACTATTGTCTCCCCAAATATACATGAATGTTCACTGCAGGCTTGTTTGAAAAAACAAAAGACTGGAATCAAATCTGTGTCCAAGGCTGGGTGCAGTGGCTCATGCCTGTAATCCTAGCACTCTGGGAGGCCAAGGTAGGAGGACTGCTTAAGGCCAGGAGTTCAAGACCTGCCTGGGCAACATGGTGAGACCCCATCTCTACAAAAAATAAAAAATTTGGCCAGGTGCAGTGACTCACGTCTGTAATTCCAGCACTTTAGGAGGCTGAGGTGGGTGGATCGCTTGAGCCGGGAGCTTGAGACCAGCCTGGGCAATGTAGTGATACTCTGTCTTTATAAAAAGTATGAAAAATTAACTGGTGTTGTGCACCTATAGTCCTAGCTACTTGGGAGGCTGAGGTGCGAGGATTCCTGGAGCCCAAGAGTTCAAGGCTACAGTGAGCTATGATCACACCACTGCACTCCAGCCTGGGTGACAGAGCAAGACCCCATCTTTAAATTTAAAAAAAAAAAAAAAGGCCCAGCACGGTCGTTCACACCTGTAATCCCAGCACTTTGGGAGGTTGGGGCAGGTGGATCACCTGAGGTCAGGAGTTCAAGACCAGCCTGGCCAACGTACCGAAATCCCATCTCTACTAAAAATACAAAAATTAGCTGGATGTGGTGGTGCACACCTGTAATCCCAGCTATTCAGGAGGCTGAGGCAGGAGAATCGCTTGAACCCGGGAGGTGCAGGTTGCAGTGAGCCGAGATAGTGCCATTGCACTCCAGTCTGGGCAACAGAGCAACACTCCATCTCAAAAAAAAAAAAAAAAGAATGAGGCAACTTTATGCACACTGATAAGGACATACAACTTATTAGAGCAAGGTGTACAGATGTGTGTGCAGCACAGCAATAACTGTGTAAAATGAGGAAATTATAAATCCAAAATTATTTCAACATAAAACTTTTTAAAAAGATGTGTGGGGGTGCCGGGTGCAGTGGCTCACACCTGTAATCCCAGCATTTTGGAAGGCCCAGGCAGGTGGTCACGAGATAAGGAATTCGAGACCAGCCTGGCCAGCATGGTGAAAACCGTCTCTACTAAAAATACAAAAAAATTAGCCAAGCATGATAGCGCGTACCTGTAGTCCTGCTACTTGGGAGGCTGAAGCAGGAGAATTGCTTGAACCCGGGAGGCAGAGGTTGCAGTGAACCGAGCGAGATCACACCACTGCACTCCAGCCTGGGTGACAGAGCGAGATCCTGTCTAAAAAAACAAAAAAACAAAAAAGGGCCGGGCACGGTGGCTCACCCCTGTAATCCCAGCACTCTGGGAGGCCGAGGCGGGCAGATGACGAGGTCAGGAGATCGAGACCATCCTGGCTGACATGGTGAAACCCAGTCTCTACTAAAAAATACAAAAACTTAGCCGGGCGTGGTGGCGGGCACCTGTAGTCCCAGCTACTCAGGAGGCTGAGGCAGGAGAATGGCTTGAACCCAAGAGATGGAGCTTGCAGTGAGCCGAGATCGTGCCACTGCACTCCAGCCTGGGCAACAGAGCAAGACTCCGTCTCAAAAAAGAAAAAAACTTGGCAAAAGGGTCACTGATGATCAAGCAATAGCTGACATAATCTGGCCAGAACCAGTGGGAACCAGTTCTACCTGACTCTTGAGTGTCCATGGGAGCCAAGAGCCTGGCACTGGGGCCAGGCATCTTTGGGTTTGAATCCTGGCTCCAACCCTGACCAAGTGCTGTGGCCATGAGCAATGGGTCTACCTCTGAGCTATAGCCTTTTCATCTGGAAAATGGGGACAATGGCAATTCTGATCTTGCACACTTATTCATTCATTCAATAAATATTTGAGAAACTACTAAATACCAGGTGCTAGTAACACACCAAGAAACAAAATAGATAAGTTATGGCCTCATGAAACTTACTTTCTTTTTTTTTTTCTTTTGAGACGGAGTTTCACTCTGTCTCCCAGGCTGGAGTAGAGTGGCCCAATCTCGGCTCACTGCAACCTCCACCTCCTGGGTTCAAACAGTTCTCCTGCCCCTCAGCCTCCCATGTAGCTGGGACTACAGGCACATGCTACTACACCCAGCTAATTTTTGGTAGAGATGGGGTTTCGCCATGTTGGCCAGGCTGGTCTCGAACTCCTGACCTCAGATAATCCACCTGCCTCGGCCTCCCAAAGTGCTAGGATTACAGGTGTGAGCCACCGTGGCCAGCCTGTGCTAAGCATTTCAAACATATTGACTCAATCTTGATAGTATAAGCACTAGTACCATGCCCATTTTACAGAAATTGAGGCTTAGAGAGGCTAAATGACTTCCTCCAGATCACAGAGCAGGTGGGACCAGGGTTCAAGCCAAGGCATCCATATCCTCCCCACCATCCCACGTTGCCACTAGGATGCCAATTCCGGGGGGCACAAACCACTTTCTCTGGTTTGTTCTCTACTTTGTCCCGGGTTCTGGCACTATAGGACCTCAATAAATGGTGGCGGCCGGGCGCGGTGGCTCACGCCTATAATCCCAGCACTTTGGGAGGCCGAGGTGGGCGGATCACGAGGTTAGGAGATGGAGACCATCCCAGCTAACACAGTGAAACACCGTATCTACTAAAAAATACAAAAAATTAGCCCGGCGTGGGGACAGGCGCCTGTAGTCCCAGCTACTCCGGAAGCTCAGGCAGGAGAATGGTGTGAACCCAGGAGGCAGAGTTTGCAATGAGCCGAGATTGTGCCACTGCACTCCAGCCTGGGCGACAGAGCGAAACTCTGTCTCAAAAAATAAATAAATAAAATTAAACAATAAAAATAAAAATAAATGGTGGCTGTTATGCACTAGGTTTAAAGGAGGCTGAGCTCCCCTCTAGGCACCAGCCAGGGCAATGACCCCAAGACCTCCTCTCTTGCAGGTAAAATGCCAGGATAGTTGCAGCTTCTTTTACATTCATTGTCAGTCCCAGGAGCCCCCTTAGCCAAATGGGACTTGGCGCTGGAGTCCCACAGGTGAGGAGTGAGAAGCAGGATGCAAGTCCATGGGCAGCTTCATGGGGACAGTATAAACAGGAGGCTTCCGCCTGCCAGCTAGAGGCCAGAGCCTAGTTCCCCATTGTGCAAATAGGGCCGTTGAGGCCAGTCAGGCCCAAAGGCACACCGCGAGGCGAGGTGAACTGAACCCAAATAAGGGGATACAGGAGCTGGCATGGGAGGAGGTCAAAGCAAGAGGGCCAGGCTGCAAAGGTTGGAAGACCCAGAAAATGTGCAGTGGGAAACCCAGTTCAGGGCTGGGAAGGCGCGCAACCCAAAATCCAGCTCCCATTGCATAGATAGTGACCTCCGAGACTTAGAGACAAAAGAGGACTGCTCCAGGGCACACAGCACTGCGGCGTCGGACTTTGAACTCGCGCCTCCGACCCCAGCCAGGACATCCCTCAGCCCCAGCCCGGCCCGATGGCCCCACTCACACAGCCCCGTTCCGGAAGCCCTTAAGCACGGCCAACGCAGCGTGGTAGCGGCGCTTGCGCAGCAGTGCATTGACGGCTACGAGCAGAGCCCGCAGCTGCGGCGGGGCTGCCATAGTGCGGGCGCCGCACTGGCTAGGGGTGCGGAGTTGGAAGCGCACTGACAGCCCGAGGGTCCAGCTGCAGCGCCCACAGCCCCTCGGTAGCGCCGCCAAGTCGTGGCGTCTATAAGCTGTTTCTGCCGTCACTCATGCATGGAAGGCCAATCAGAGAGCGTACTTGTGTCATGGGGCAATAGCACTCATCGAGATAGTTGTCTGACTGGAAGAGAAAGGAAAGCCTGTAACCAATCACAGTGGGGTCCGCCCAAGGACACACACACACACACACACACACACACACACACACACACAGACACACACACGATTTGTCCAATGGGAAGGCGCGCGCGCGCGCGCGCGCACACACACACACACACACACACACACACACACACACACACACGATTTGTCCAATCAGAAGGCATTTTCCCTTGGGCTATGTTCGGTTCACTAGTGGGTTTGGAAGGAGGCGTGTACTTGGAAGGAGGGCTCCAGAAGGAGGAGTCGCCCTGCTTAGAGCTGAGATGGGCGACAGGTGATGATACAGGGAGGAGCAGGTCCCCATCCGACTGGGGTATCCTTTACTGATCTTCTCAGTGTCAGTCACATGGCCCCTCAATGGCTTCAATGTACGTATGTATGTTTTGAGATACAGCCTTGCTCTGTCACCCAGGCTGGAGTGCAGTGGCGCCATCTGGGCTCACTGCATCCTCCCTCCCCCAGGGTTCAAGCAATTCTCCTGCCTCAGCCTCCTGAGTAGGTGGGACTACAGGCACCCACCACCATGCTCGGCTAATTTTTTGTATTTTTTAGTAGATTACAGGTGCCCGCCACCATGTCCAGCTAATTTTTGTATTTTTAGTAGAGATGGGGTTTCACCATGTTGGCCAGGCTAGTCTCGAACTCCTGACCTCAGGTGATCCACCTGCCTCGGCCTTCCAAAGTGCTGGGATTACAGGCGTGAGTCCAGCCGGCTTCCACTTATTCTTAGAATCCAAACTCCTCCCCAAGGCCCAGGAGAGAAGATGTCCTGTGATCTGGTCCCTGCCTCTCCCTCTGACCCCACGTTCCAGCACTTGCCACCTCACTGCTCCCCAGCCAAATGGCCTCCCTTCTGTTCCTTGGGCCAAGAACCCTTCTACCTCAGAGCCTTTGCACTGGCTGTTTCCCCGCCTGGTATTCGCCATCCTGGGCTCTTCCCATGATGAGCTTCTTCTCATCCTTCAGGTTTCAGCTCAAATGCCACCTCATCAGAGAGACTTTCTGAGACATCCAATTTGAAGTAGCATTAGAGACAAAAGAGGACTGCTCTGACTCATTACCCTGGTTCTTTTTTTTTTTTTTTTTTGAGACTCAATCTATCGCTCAGGTTGGAGTGCAGTAGTGTGATCTCAGCTCACTGCAACTCCTGCCTCCCAGGTTCAAGGGATTCTTCTGCTTCAGCCTCCCGAGGAGCTGGGACTACAGGCGCACACCAACACGCCTGGCTAATTTTTGTATTTTTAGTAAAGATGGGGTTTCACCATATTGGCCAGGCTAGTCTCAAACTCCCGACCTTGTGATCCGCCCGCCTCAGCCTCCCAAAGTGCTGGAGTTACAGACATGAGCCACTGTGCCCGGCAACCCTGGTTCTTATGTGTTTTTTTTCTTTCACAAAACTTTTGACACTTTGGACTTATTTGTTTACTACGTGTTCATTGTCCATTGCCCTTACCAAACTGTAAATTCTATGAAGGAAGAATGTCTCAATTTCTGCTATAACCCCAGCACTGGGCACATAGTGGGCACTCAACACTTGCTTGTTGAAGCAACACATAGTTTTGGGTTGTCATCTCCCAGAGCATTGATGGGTGACATTAACATATGATGTCACTCACTGTGTGGAGTTGTCACTGAATAACAGTTACACATTGAGTGGTGGCTGTGACTTGTGAGGGTGTCCCCTGGGACTTGGGCCATATGGTATTTACCAGTGATATTATTGCCTCGGTGTCAGGGGACAATTTCAGAGGTCAATAAAGGAGGGAGTTGTGCTGGGCCTATTTTGTCACTGAAACTGGGTTTTCTGGGATTTTTCTTTTGTAATGGTAGGCTACTTTATTCAGTTAATCCTTCCTCTGAAGATAATGACTATGTTAGACAATATATTAAAATATCCTCTTAAAAACACTGAAGTTCTGTGACTGGGCGCACTGGCTCATGCCTGTAATCCCAGCACTTTGGGAGGCCAAGGCGGGCGGATCACTTGAGGCCAGGAGTTCAAGACCACCCTGGCCCACATGGTGAAACCCCCGTCGCTAAAAAATTAAAAAACAAACAACAACACACACAAAAAAACAAAAACAAAAACAAAACAAAACGCTGAAGCTCTGCCAGGTGCAGTAGGTAGCTCACGCCTGTAATCCCAGCACTTTGGGAAGCCAAGGTGGGTGGATCTCTTGAGCCCAGGAGTTCGAGACCAGCCTGGGCAACATGGCGAAAACCCATCTCTACTAAAAATACAAATATTAGCCAGGCCTGGTGGCACACACCTGTAGTCCCAACTACAGGCGTAGGAGGATCACCTGAGCCTGGAGAGGTCAAGGCTACAGTGAGTGGTGATCACGCCACTGTACTCCATCCTGGGTGACTGAGTGAGACCCCGTATCAAACTGAAGTGCTTAAAAGTATGAGGAATGTGGCCGGGCACGGTGGTTCACGCCTGTAATCCCAGCACTTTGGGAGGGTGAGGCGAGTGGATCACCCGGGGTCGGAGTTCAAGACCTGCCAGACCGACACGGAGAAATCCTGTCTCTACTAAAAATACAAAATTAGCTGGGTGTGGTGGCATGTGCTTGTAATGCCAGCTACTCAGGAGGCCGAAGCAGGAGAATCGCTTGAACCCAGGAGGTGGAGGTTGCAGTGAGCCGAGATCATGCCATTGCACTCCAGCCTGGGCAAGAAGAGCGAAACTCCATCTTAGGGAAAAAAAAATATATATATATGAGGAATGCTCAGGCCAATTATGGAGTGAAAGCTGGTAACCAGACGGTTAACAGGAAGAGTGGGATATTGGAGCACCAAGGCTACTTATGACATGAGGGCATTTACCAATATTAAACCTGCGAGTTTCAGCTTGTCAACCACACAGGGCAAGGGGGACACAAGTGAAAATCCAGGGCCTCCCAAGGTGGGCAGCCAGATAGCAGATCTCCTCACATTAAGCTGAACCCCCAAAGGGTGCCACCCTCAAGTCTAATGTGAAATGAATCCACTGTACAACCCTCACCATCAGCCCCAAGGAACTACAGAAAAGGCTGCCTTGGGGCTAAGCAGAACAGTTGAAGGAGAAGGAAAGAGGATTTTTTTTTTTTTTTTTTTTTTTTTTTTTTTTTTTTTTTTTTTTTTTTTTTTTTTTTTTGAGACGGAGTCTCGCTCTGCCGCCCAGGCTGGAGTGCAGTGGCCGGATCTCAGCTCACTGTAAGCTCCGCCTCCCGGGTTCACGCCATTCTCCTGCCTCAGCCTCCCCAGTAGCTGGGACTACAGGCGCCCGCCACCTCGCCCGGCTAGTTTTTTGTATTTTTTAGTAGAGACGGGGGAATTTTTTTTTTTTTTTTTTTTTTTTTTGAGACGGAGTCTCGCTCTGCCGCCCAGGCTGGAGTGCAGTGGCCGGATCTCAGCTCACTGTAAGCTCCGCCTCCCGGGTTCACGCCATTCTCCTGCCTCAGCCTCCCGAGTAGCTGGGACTACAGGCGCCCGCCACCTCGCCCGGCTAGTTTTTTGTATTTTTAGTAGAGACGGGGTTTCACCGTGTTAGCCAGGATGGTCTCGATCTCCTGACCTCGTGATCCGCCCGTCTCGGCCTCCCAAAGTGCTGGGATAAAATTTAAAACTTAAAAAATCAATATTGGGAGCAAAAGGCTATTTATTTAATGGCAGATTTGAAAAGGAACCCAACAGAACTTCTAGAAATCTACTTCTACTGGTCCCATGAAGAGTCAGTCACTAAGTTCTGACACATGGCCCGGCATCAGAAGGTGTTTGGAAACTATCTGGTTTTGCAAGTTCTTCCTGGGTGCTCTCTTTTGCTAAGCCCTTTCTCACGTAGATAAATAAGTTTCTGCCCTCAAGGGGCCCCGCACAGTGCTAAGGGTAAAGAGTTGCAATAATGGGGACACTTATTGTCTGGTGACTATTTTAATTTTACGTAACTCTGAGTTCCTCAGGGCAGGGCCTGTTTGTTCACCTTTGCCCAGTGAGCACTTAGAGAGAGTAGAGTACTGAGTACTGCCTGTGTGCCAGGGATTGTTTCCTGAGTGTTTTCTTTTCTTTCTGTCTTTCTTTTCTTTCTTTTTTTTTTTTTTTTGAGACAGAGTCTTGCTCTGTCATCCAGGCTGAAGTGCACTGTGGCGTGATCTTGGCTCACTGCAAGCTCCGCCTCCCATGTTCAAGCCATTCTCCTGCCTCAGCCTCCTGAGTAGCTGGGCTTACAGGCACCCACCACCACGCCCAGCTAATTTTTTGTTGTATTTTTAGTAGAGACAGGGTTTCACTGTGCTGGCCTGGCTGGTCTTGAACTCCTGACCTGGCTGAACTCCAAGGCCCACCTCGGCCTCCCAAAGTGCTGAGATTACAAGCGTGAGCCACCGTGCCCGGCTGGACCTCATTTAACCTTAATTAGCTCTTTATTTATTTGTTTATTATTATTATTTGAGACAGAATCTTGCTCTGTCACCCAGGCTGGAGTGCAGTGGTGCATCTGCCTTCCGGGTTCAAGTGATTCTCCTGCCTCAACCTCTTGAGTAACTGGGATTACAGGTGCGCGCCACCATGCCCGGCTAATTTTTGTACTTTTAGTCAAAACAGGATTTCACTATGTTGGCCAGGCTGGTCTCGAACTCCTGACCTCAGCTAATCCGCCTGCCTCAGCCTCCCAAAGTGCTGGGATTACAAATGTGAGCCATCGCACCTGGCCCCTTAATTAGCTCTTTAAAGACTCAGGTTACAGTTACATTCTGAGGTACTAGGGACTAGGATGTCAACATATGAATTTTACAGGAAAGACACAATTCAATCCATAACAGTCACATGCTTTGCTGCTTACTATCAACATCAACCAACCTAACAAGATGTCAGGACCCAGCATTGCCTTGTGTGTCAGCCATTCTTCCCCTTGTGGGGACTCAGCTGGGAGTCTGATTTCACCTTGAGATTCTTCCCTCCCCATAGAGAAGTTAACTTTTCTAGGGTGGCTGGAGCA